ACAAGATGTAATGTTTCAAACAATGCTTGTTCTTTCATTGTTGATAGTGGATCATGGTGCAATTGTTGTAGCACTAGGTTGGTTGACAGGTTGGGCTTAACTACTAGTCCCCATCCTAAACCTTATCAACTTTATTGACTTAATGAAAATGGTGAGTTGGTAATTGACCAACAAGTAAAGGTTAAGCTTTCCATTGGAAAATATGAGGATGAAGTGTTATGTGATGTAGTATTAATGGAAGCTTGTCATATCTTACTAGGAAGGTCATGGCAATTTGATAAGAAAATCATGCATAATGACCTTACTAATGAGATAAACTTTACTCATAAAGAAAAGAAATTTGTGCTTCATCCTCTTTTTCCTCAACAGGTGACAGAGGATCAAGCACAAATGAAATTCAAAAGAGAAAGTGAGAAAAGAAGTAAAAAAAAAAAGGAAATAGAGAGAGAAAAAAGTCCGTGAAAACTAGGACTAAAGAGAAGTCTAGGGAAAAAGGAGTCCTCTCCCTAGAAGTTGTTGATCAAGATAAAAAAATTTCAAAATAAAATCTCTTTGATCAAACAACCCTCTTTTATCCTTCTATGTATAGGGACTCTAACTTGCACTGCCACATCTAGTGATCATGAGACTCTACCTAAGGGGATCAAAATTCTTTTGAAAGAATTTGATGATCTATTTCCTCCCGAAGGTCCAATGGTTCTTCTTCCTTTAAGAAGGATAGAACATCAAATTGATCTGGTGCCTGGAACTAGCCTACCCAATAGGCCAGCCTATACGCCAACCCCCAAGAGACTAAAGAAATAAAGTCTCAAGTTCAAGAGTTGTTGGAGAAGGGCTAGGTTCAAAAGAGCTTGTGTTGTACCTGTGTTGTTGGTCCCTAAAAAGGATGGGAAATGGAGAATGTGTTGTGATAGTAGGGCCATCAACAACATTACTGTAAAGTATAGATATCCCATCCCTAAGCTTGATGAGATGCTATATGAGCTTCATGGAGCCATCATATTTTCTAAAGTTGATCTTAAAAGTGGTTATAATCAAATTAGAATAAAAGAAGGCGATGAATGAAAAACCACTTTCAAGACCAAGTTTGGATTATATGAATGGATAGTGATGTCCTCTGGGCTCACCAATGCTCCTAATACTTTCATGCATCTCATGAATCATGTCCTAAGGGATTGTATAGGTAAGTTTGTTGTAGTTTATTTTGCTGAAATTATTATATATAGTAGGTGCATAAGTGATCACATAGGACACTTAAGGCAAGTTTTTAATATTCTTAGGAAAAACCATCTTTTTGGGAGTTTAGAAAAATGTACCTTTTGTGTAGATAGTGTTGTATTCTTAGGTTTTATTATTAGCAAAAAAAAAAGGTTCATGTGAACCCTGAGAAAATCAAGGCCATCCAAGAATGGCCCACACCTAAGAGTGTTGAAGATATTAGGAGCTTCCATAGTTTGGCTAGCTTCTATAGGAGATTTGTTCTTAATTTTTCCACACTTGCCTCCCCATTAAATGAGTTGATGAAGAAAAATGTTGAGTTTCACTAGGGAGAGAAACAAGAGAGAGCCTTCATATCCTTAAAGGATAAGCTCACCCATGCACCATTTCTAGCTCTTCTGAATTTTTCTAGAACTTTTGAGTTAGAATGTGATGCCTCTAGGGTTGGCATAGGAGTGATTTTGTTACAGGGTGGGCACCCAATTTCTTATTTCAGTGAAAAACTTAAAGGTGACTTCATTAACTACCCTACCTATGACAAAGAGCTCTATGCTTTAGTTAGAGCCCTTCAAACTTGGGAACACTACCTTATTCCCAAGGAGTTTGTCATTCATAGTGACCATGAGTCACCAAAATATTTGAGGGGTCAAGGCAAACTAAATAAAAGGCATGCTAAATGGGTAGAGTATTTGGAACAATTCCCATATGTGATCAAATACAAGAAAGGGAAAAATAATGTTGTAGCTAATGCCCTTCCTAGGAGACATACTTTGCTAGTCTCCCTGGTTCTCAAATTTTGGGATTTGATCACATTAAGGAGTTGTATTCCAATGACTCCGAGTTCAATGAATCATATACTCAAGGAGGTTCCTATGTTTCTGAGGGGTACTTGTATAAGGAAGGACGAATTTGTATACCCTAAGGATCTATTAGAAAACTCCTTGTAAAAGAAAGTCATGAAGGTGGACTCATGGGGCACTTTGGAGTTGATAAGACTCTAAGCTTTTTAAAAGAAAAATTCTTTTGGCCACATATGAGAAGGGATGTTGAGAGATTTTGCTCTAGATGTATAGCTTGCTTGCAAGCAAAGTCTAAAGTAATGCGTCATAGCTCCTATACACCCTTATCAGTTGCTAACTCTCCATGGGTTGATATCAATATGAATTTTCTATTGGGCTTGCCCAGGACCTAGAGAGGCATGGATTCTATCTTTGTGATAGTGGACAGATTTAGTAAAATGGCTCATTTTATACCCTGTCACAAGATAGATGATGCAAGCAACATAACAAGACTCTTCTTTAAAGAAGTGGTTAAACTTCATGGTCTACCCAAGACAATTATGTTAGATAGGGACACTAAGTTCCTTAGCCATTTTTGGAAAACTCTTTGGAGTAGGTTAGAAACTAAACTACTTTTCTCAACTACTTGTCATCCCCAAACTGATGGGCAAATAAAAGTAGTTAATAGATCTCTATCTACCATGTTAAGGACAGTCCTTAAGGGTAACCATAAGTCTTGGGATGAGCACTTGCCACACATAGAATTTGCCTATAATAGGGTAGTCCATAAGACTACCAAAATCTCACCTTTTGAGGTTGTTTATGGCAACCCTCTCACTCCTTTGGACCTAATACTCCTACATGATTCTTCTCATTATTTTCATAAAGAAGGGATATCTAGGGCTGATTTTGTGAAAAAATTACATGAGAATGTTAAAACTCATATTCAACAACAAAATGAGAGAACTGCTTTAGAAAGAAATACCTCATTTTTTAGGAAGGAGATTGGGTTTGGCTTCACTTGAGGAGATGGTCATTTCCAAGTCCTATAAAGGATCAATGATAACACTTATAGGTTGGATCTCCCTGGTGATTATGGAGTAAGCAACACTTTTAATGTTAGTGATCTTAATCTCTTTGCAGGTTATGATGATGAGGAGGTCGAACCTATAGATTTGAGGACAAATCCTTCTCAAGAGAGAGGATGATGGACCATGGGCCAGGGCCCAATCATTAGAGCTATGACAAGGAGCATTCAGGAGGGACTGGACAACTTGAAGACCAGTGGACTTTCTAAGCCCAAGGTACTTTTCATTTGAACCACTCTATCATGAAGAGAAGGCATAGTTCTACTGTATATAACTTGTACATAATTTTCATTGTATAGGTCATTTTTAGCCTTTGTATTTCTAAGGCACTCTGTTTTCTTTTTATAGACTATTTATAGACTATTGTATATTATTTTTAGGGTAGGTTACTTGGAGACTTTGAATCCATTTAACCTTGTATTGAAGGTCACTCTTTTTCTATTTTTCAGTAGTAGAAGTGGGGTGGCATGCTTGAGGGTGTGACTAGTAATAAGGCCAGACTTGAGCCTAAGCAAAATTTTATATATTAAACCTGTTTTACTCCTAATTTTTCAAGAATTTGATTTAGCTAGGTCTAATCATTTTTATATGAACCTAACTAAACCTAATCAAACTTTTTCAAAACCGGATTAGTGACAAACTAGCCTAAAAGGCCGCCTAGCTTGCCTTGGTTCCTCACATGACCGAATTGCTTCTCCTTGCCTTCAAGCTTGGGAAGCTTGTGCTACAAGCTTCTCCTTTAACTTGCTTCCCAAAAAAGCTAAGTGAGAAACTTGCTCCACAAGCCTCCTAACTAGGTTGGACGGTCAAGCAACCAAACCATGATTCACTTGAATCATGGTTAAGGTTAACTTGCTCCCTAAACTACATCCTTCTATATATTTGTAACTCTCACCTTTTCCCTCACTTTAGATGAATAATAATCAAAATTTCTCTCGAATTCTCTCCTCCAAAGCTCATAGAATTCGTGGAGAATTTTCTCCTCTAGGTTCCTTCACAAAAGTTTCCAACCTGTGCCTTGGTGCCTCACTCTTCTACTTCCTTTGAAAGTAACCGAACACATGCTTGTTGCTTCTTCACCATTGGAGTTTCTTCAAAGGTGTTTCCACCATTGCTAAGTGTTCAACCTCAAGAGAAGAAGGATTGGACGGTGGAGTTTTGAAGAACATCAACCATTCTTCAACAACTTCCATCAATAAGGATAAAGTTGGCATATCATAATTTTTTTAAAAAAACCAACAAAACAAGTTGAAATAACTACTTTTATTAGACCGTAGAACTACAACTGCCTTATAATAAGAACAGAACAGAAGTAATATGTTTTTTACTAACCTATTAGATTTGATTACCTAGTGCTTCTTTAATAATGTTAAACCCACACTTTGAGAATTGAAATTTCCACTAGAGTTTGAGTTATTTTGTATTTCTTTTGAAAGTCATTGTTTCTGGAATAATAGGATTTGCGGGAAAGAAAAAAAAAAGAGTAATTACAATTGTTAATAACAGCTTTAGCTTAACTAAAATTGATTTTATCTTTATATACCAGCAATAATTTTGTATCTTACACAGTTTAACGCACTTCTACAATATTGAGGCTTGTGAAATCAAAGATCCAAGCAAAACATTGAGTGAACACTGCCTGAAGGGGGTGGAGGCCTGGGATGCTCAACCATGTGGATCCAGAAAGTAGTCACCGTATTGTAACTATTGTTCCTGCAAAATGCAAATACATAAAACCAAAAATAGAAAAAATTGTCCCTATGAGTATTGAGAGGAAAAAGGAGAGCACCATTATAAAGGGCTATATAATAAATAACCGAAGTAAATCTAATAGGTTAAAATAACCTATCACAGCGGGTCATTTTTAATGCTTCATCATGAACTATTTAAAAGGTAGTTCACCCTAGCCTGAACCTTTCATTTTTAAGGCAAAATGATATTATTGAATAAAAAGGTACATAATACATATATTTTATTTTGTTCATTCTCAAGTGTAGAACCAGGATTCAAACCCCAGTTATCAAACATATTACACATTACATACATTGAACATACACCACGCAAAAATTAAGAGGTTAGATACTTCATTTCATGCGTACAACTTCTGAAGATCGTCTTTGAATTTGGCTTTCAGCTGCTCTCTCTTTATCTTGAGAGCAGCAGTAACTAATCCAGATTCAGGAGTCCATGGATCTGGCAACAACCTAATCTTTGCAGGAATTTCAGATTTCTCCAGCTTTGCAGATTTTGCAACCTGAAATGAATAAATGAAATTAGTCATTAACCATGCAGCACATACAATGGTTATCAACTTATAACTACATCGTTAGGTCATAATTAGAACTCGCTACAGTTTGGTTGGTCTAGAAAACCATTTCTTTGAAATTTATCCTTCAAACACAATTGATGCCTTGTCACGGCTGTGATACTTCCTTCACATAAATGTAAGGCGTTGCAAGTACCAAAACAAATATAAGTGTGTATATTTCATCAATAAATTTTCTACATTTTGAATGTGAGTTGTGACCAACTAGTTATCTTCTATAAAAAGCCTGAATCCTTCAAAAATGAAAAAGTATCAGTGTCATACCCATTTCAGATACCGATACTTCTCTGCTACTTTCAAATATGTATCCGAAAAGTATCTACTCTTTATTTATTTATTTTTTAATTGTTTTTTCTAGGATTCCTTGTGGATACTTATTGGATACTTCTAGATACATATTCAAAAAAAAGTATCCAAAAAGCTCGTCTTAAGCTTTTCTTACAACCATGGTTTTTCTCATGTTGTGGAAGGAATGGAGTACATACTCCTTTATTTATTCTTTGAAGAAAAACAAAATGGATCCAAGAGGTGTAGACGGTTTGGTTTATGGAAAGATGAAGGGCATGAAAATGGGAGAGACTAAATTGTGGGACAATAGTGAAGGTATGCGTCATCCACTTATGATGGTGTTGGACTTCTTGAATTGGTTGAGTTGTCTCTTGATGAACCAAACTTTGAAACTAGGTTTTTTCTACATGATGGTAATAGAGAAGAGAGTGATACAATTAGCATTAGATAGTAATTTAGTAACGATGCTTTTGAGTTATAGACTATTGTATAGAACCAATATTTGTTTTAAGTTCTACCAACGATGCTTTTATTAATATAGTTAACTTGATATGGCAAAAACTGTATTTTTTTTTTGTTATGATCACAAATATCTTTTTTTGCAAGTTGTGACGATCATTGTTATGAATTAATGAGAGAGAATTAATGTCTCTTTATTTACCAATATTCTATACCTTTATAAAATTTAATTTAAGGTATCTAAAATGAATTGTGTCCTATATTTCAAAATAATTGTCATATTCCAATATCCTTGTTGTATCGTACCCATGTCGTACTAAGTATATGGGTTTCATAGGTTATCCTTTCATAAAATGTGGTTATTTAATGTTCATTGAAATACTGGTGGTTTCACTCTTTTTTTTTTTTGGGTGTTCATTCGTTAAATTGTTGCTTGTCTTTCATTATCATTCTCAAAAGAATAGTTAATAGATTGACCCAAAGCAAACAATAAACATTTTATAGAACTAGAATTTTCCCATTAAGTGGTGGTTGATTACTTGGATCAGTTGAAGCCTTTTGGCTCTATGAGAATCAAACTTCTCAATTAAAACATTTAAAGAATTAAAAGTCATGTATAGTGGTTTCTGTTGAACTTTTCTTGGGTGTTCATCTACCCCTTTTAAATCAGATTATTTTCCATTTCATCGACTTTGTTTTTAAAGTAGTCTTTATTAGTCTTCTCCAGACCAAGACGATTCTACTTCTATTTCCTCCCAAATATATTCTTTCTAATATTGTCTATTCTTGTAGGTCTATCTGTTTATCCACCTTGACATTCTTATTTCCACAACATTTATTTTTTGTTCTTGAAACTTTGCTACCCAAACATATAATATCATAGAGATTGGTTGGTCTTATGGTAGAATCTTCCTTCAAGTTTATATGTACTTGCAATAATATATTACACCTAAATACTAAAACATTTTTCCATATCAACCACCCATTGCATGCCATCCCTACCAATCTACCCATTACTTTGTAAAATAAATACTGTTGAAAAGCTGTCTTAGTTGCGGTCTCCCCTATCCCACCTTATTTGTGGCCTCATTGTAGACTGCCTTAATTGTAACCTCAAGGGAAGTGTTTAGTCCTATATCAACTATAAATAAGGCTAAAATAGAGCCTATGAAGCTTGGTTAATCCTCATCTTACAAACTAATTTCATGGCATTGAGTTAGGCTTTTAAGTCCAAATTTTAAGAAATACAAGATACCTAAACCATGAGCCGAAGACTAACTTTATTAAAAATTCATGCTATTAGTGGAAGCTCCTGAATCCATATCTCTAACATTCTCAGGTCATTTAAACATAGACCAAATAGGCCAACTCCTCTACCTTGAACTAAAATTCAATTTCAGTTAGAAGAACGGAGGTAGCAAGGATCTCATTTCTAACCAATTGATCATAGAGGCCTTGAAACCATGTCAAGGTTCAATTTTCCTAGAAACCTTTTAGGTGGATGATAAGCTTCCATGTTGATGCTCATGAACAGCTTAATATCTTAACACTGTGACTTGTAGTATGATCTGATCTCCAAGTTTCATTATTATAAATGATGTTTTCTAATATGTTCACTCCAACATTGTTTTTAATCCTATTTTATCTTAGCTATGTTTTCTTACAAGTCTACCCTAAATTGCTTTAAATCTTGGTTCAGGGAAATATCCCCTGAACAAAGCTACAAATTTTCAAAACTTCAAGGTTCTGCACCTCCCTAGCCCAAGGGTCCTAATCCTCTGTCAAATGAGAATGACAATATATCGGTCCCTATCAACCTCTCCTCTTAATTATAGGTAATATGCCTTAGATTAGTGCTAGAAACACATTCATCTTAACACATTTTTTCATTATTTATTTCTGAAAACTAAAAAATCATGAGAAGTTCATTAAAAAGGTTATGGGAATGGGACCACAAACTTTTGTAATTTCCAAAATAATTCAACCAGTAGGTGTGTTTAAAAAGTGTGTCAAAGGTGTTCCTAGCATTTCCAATATGCCTTAATTCTTCTCCATCTCAGCCCAACAAACTAACAGATATCATCAACAAATAACTACATTCTTACTAACAGATATTAACAACAAACATATTTACAGACAACTAACACTAACCTTAGAAATTGACTGCAGAACCTCAGTGACAGTTTCAGGTTTGTTACAAAGATCAGGAAAATCTTTGTAATCTATACCAGCTTGTTGGGCCCACTTCTCCAGTGACTGATGTGAAGCAACAACTAGAGCCACACAGTAATTGTGAAAGGGGTCTGCATAAACCATTATATTATCCACATAATCACATGATGATAGTGCTGCCTCAACCTGTGATTAAGTCATAATGAAAAACCGATATAAGGCCCAGATAAATTTACTGTGGATCTTGTGTCAGTTCTTCATCCAGATTCCATAACAAACAAGGTATAGTTTGAGTTACCTTTCCAAGAGATATATATTCTCCATGTTGAAGTTTGACAATGTCTTTCTTCCTATCTATAATTTCAAGACATCCATCAGGATGGAATTGCCCAATATCGCCAGTATAAAACCAGTTCATACCTTTCTCATCAACCTGTATTAAGTTAAAAGCCAAATATGTAATGTATGGCTTAGTAATATGCAAAAACAGACTCAAGAGCGGT